CTCCCCTCACCCCCTCCTCATCACCTTGCCCGTTACACCCAGCCCATTCATTCCTGCACATCCTCATCGGCAACCACAGATCCAAAGTACTTGCCGGCCTTGCATGGGAGCTGGGACCCCGAGCGGCCCCTCCTGCACACATCCCCAGCCCGAGGATGTCCTGCCAGCGACCAGGCCGGGGCTCTGCTTCTCTGCTCTGCTGCGTCCACGGGCGGCACGACCGCTGTCTGCGGCTCGGGGCGTGTGAATGGGGTTTGAGTAGGGGCTGCCTTGCAGCAAAGGCCCTCTGCTTCCCTTCCCGGGAGGAAGGGCGTGTGGAGGGGAGGAAGGCACGTGTGTATGCGTTGGGCAGTGGTAACTGCGATTTCCCTTTTGAATTTCATTGAAGTTTCCTGTTGCTGTTTGGTTTGGGAAACCACTGTGAGGGGTGAGGTGTGAGCCTGCACGTGTCTGTAGGCATCTACCTCTGCTTGCACGGGGAGGTTGGAAATGGGTAAAGGAAGTTGTAGGGAAGGTCTGTGGGTTGCTGGAAGCCCAGGGTACCATCTCCCCCATTTTCTGGGTAAGGAAAGTCCCCTCTCTCTATTTTTTCTGCAAGGTTCTCTGGGTCTTCCTTTCCCCACTGCGGCCTCTTTTCTTGGGTGAAGCTGGGAACCTTCTGGGCTGTGGGGGTCTGAGCTGGCTCTGGAGCTGCAGACAAGGTCCCTGGAGGGACCCAGCTGTGGGAACAGCTATGCAGAGACACTGCTCGAGCGCTGCCTGCTCAGGCTCCCTCTTAACAGGCACAAAACCTCACATATTCACACACGTTCATCATCACTGGGTCCCTCCTGCCCTCTGCACTCCCCATTTCCTCCTCCGTGCTTTGCTGCCCCGGGGCTGGGCTGGCCTCAGTGGCACAAGGTGACTGTGGTTGCTACTGCTTGGTCATAAATTGTAGTGACAGCCCCATAGCAAAGGGATTTTCCCACGAAGCAGCATGTTCCCCAGCCCTTTTAGGGAGGCATCCCTGGAGCAAAGGCAGCACTGGGGGTTGGCAAGCATGCGGCTTTACGTGCATTTCTATACCTGTGCTGGGAACAAAAAGCATAAATAACCCAGAACAGGGGGTTATACCTGGAGAAAGCTCTTTCCCGTTGTCATTCTTTTTTTTCCTTTTGTCATTCCCGGCTGGTGTTGCTGTGCTGGAGCTCAGGCAGGGGGACCACACTTCCAGTGCCACCAGCAGCAGCATCTGGAAGGCAGGTGAATCAGCGGGGACGTGGTCTGGATCATACCAGCAGTGTCACTAGGAGGGCAGAAGCGGCTGGTGCTGGGTTTGAGATGAGCTGTCATGTCCACACGTCTTGACCAAGGTGTTCCACGATGTTGCAGCTGGAGAAGGGACGTTTCTCCTTGGGGTTCTCAGGCCGGGTGTGGGGGGAACAGGGCTCTGGTCTGGTGTTTGCTGGGGGTCGGGGGCAGCAGGATCCTTTCTCCGGCATTCCCTCAGAGCACGGAGGGGGTGGCGGGGCTGCCCCCAGCCTGGCTTTTGCTGCTGCTCTGCTTTACTGTTGGGGGGGGAAAGCTTGCTTGTGAATTGTTTTTTTTCACCATTTTCTTTTTGCCAGACCTGCTCGCTCCCTCTTGTAAAGGATTTCCCAGGCGCTAACAGGAGGGAGAGCAAGAACAGAGTGTAAATTCAGAGGCAGCAAAAGGCAGGTGTCTGCAGAGCTAAAGCAGAGCTTTCTAGCACTGCTACTGTCCTGTCTGCTCCTGGGCAGGGGGTAAGGATCTTTTGACCTGCCTGAAACAACTCTAAAAACTTGCATTTTAAGTGAAAATGGAAGATCAGGGTTAAGTCTTGTTTTACTCCTAAATGGGCTGTGTATTTTGACTTGGCTTTCCAAACGGATCCACTCTTGAAGTGGTGCTGGAGATCTGTGTGCTTGCTGGGACTTGATGTGGCCATCTCCAGTGGAGCAGTTTAGCGGCCAGTGCCTGAAGAGGAGACCCCAGGAGTCTCTACCTGTGCCCCTTGCCTTGCTGTGTGGCTTTTGGCAGGTGTCACCATGCTTTAAATGGCTGTGCTGGCAGTGGCTGAGCTAAAGCCCATGGTTTCCCAAAGCTGCCCAAGGGTTGGGAACGCATCTCTCCTGGTTATCTTGTGGCAATGGGGCTCCTGTGCAAAAGGATGGGTGGAAATGTTGACATCCATGCATGGGAGGGACGCCAGGAATGTGAAGTACAACACCAAAAAAGGGTGGGGAGATGCTTCCTTCCCTTGCAGCTGCAGCCGCTGCTCCCTGGGGATGGTGTCCCTGGGCTTGGGACCTGCTGAGGAGGTGGGAGGAGGCTCACGTAGAGCTCTGTGCTTCTTGCTTGCCTGAGTCTGCACATCCGTCCTGCTAGGGGATTTGTGGACTTCAAGCAGCTACTTCTTGCTTGTGTCTTATCAGCCCACTTGGAATGTCCCCCTGTCACTTGGCAGTCAGCTGCTTGTCTTCCTCTGACTCCCACTGGTGTCCATCCCTGGTTCTTGGGGACTCTGCTCCTCTCTCCTGGTGGGTTCACACGTGTAGCAGCACCAAGGGCCGCTTGATGCCTGAAGCAGCACTCCCCCAGCTCCACCCACGTTGTGGTTTTAATTAAAAGTCTCTGTGTTTTGCACTGGTGACTGTGTTGGTCTCTCCAGGACTGGGGTTTGCTCCCACTTTGGGAGCGGAGCCAGCGAAGCCGATGGCTGGAGCCTTTGGCGCAGGAACGAGGCTTTGTGGAGGCACTTGCTGTGTCAGTGGTTGATCTCTTTCTTGCACCAACATTGACTCGTTATTTAACAAGTATCTCCAGTCTGTCTTTGTATCCTTCCTTGGGTCTGTCTATTTTATTTATTTATTTAACTTTTTTGCTGTGTGCACCCCCCTCTCTCCCAGCTTGGAGTTGGCAGGTAGGTGATGGGTGAAGCCTGTTCCTGGGCCAGCAAATACCTCTTGAAGATCAGAGACTCTCATAACCAAAGGACGTTTGAGCCTTGTTTCTGAGGCAGGGAGAGAACTGGAACCTTTTTTTCTTCAGATGTTTTTCCTGTCCTGCTGTAGGGGCTGACTCAGGACTTCCAGCATCAGTTTAGCTCAGCAGCTTTGTTGGATTTATATAGAAAATTATACCTGGACCTTCTCAGAAGTGATTGGAGCTAGTGTAGATGTGCTTTGCAAATGCTAGTTTTTCTTGTCACTGGGTTATATCTTCTCCATCAACACAGGCCAACTGTGTGAGTGCATGTTGCTAAAAGTGGCAGCAGCGTGGAGGGATGGATGGGGAGCAGAAATGTCATCTTGGATCACAGATGTTTTCTTTGAAGGCACCCGAATCCATCTTGAACGTGTCCCTTGGTGAACGTGACGTGCAGTGAAGGGGAAGCAGACGTAGTGTGGGCTTCTCACCATCTTCCTGCTCAGCCCACTGACCAAGCCAATTTTTAAAAATTCAGTTTTCAGAACTGGATCCTTCGGGCTTGCTCTACGTGGGCTGCTTCATGTTTCTGTTTCACAGCTGTTGCCTTTACACGGGGCACGTGTCACAAGTCACCGTCAACCTTCCCCCGTCTCTTTCTTCTCAGCCCTCCTTTATAAATGATCATCCACAGCAGCCAGTAATAAATGAAGTCAGAGTTGAGAGAAGCAGCCTCGTGCAGCGATAGTGGTGAAAGAATAAAAAAATAGAACTGTTTCATGCCACTGTTGCTGTATTAACTTGTCCCTGGTGTGCAGCTCCGTTCCATTACGTAGTGCTGGGTTCCTGCTAATAAACAAAGTCCCCACTGCAGGAACAGCATTTGTTGAGCAGCAAAATCTGAGCTGGCAGGTTCCAGGATGAAGACATACATCATACCCCAAGGAACTGGTGTTGAACCACACAGGAGCTCTGGACACCAAACTGTGTCCCTGCAACTGCTTTGACTTCTTTCCTGAGAGAGAGAAGGAGGCAGAAATGGATGGGAGAAGATGGAATTGGTGGTTAATGATAACGGTCATGATAACCTGAACTCTCCCACTGCCAACATGCTGGTGGGAACCTTCTACGGTTGAGCAGCTCACGAGAATCTTGTTGCTGCTTCAACAAGGACTCTCCTGGCTCAGATGTAGAATTAAACAGGGCTTGTGGAGGTCATTTCATGCTCTAATAGCCAAGAGGAGAGATCTTCATCCTTTAACGTTGCCTCCTCTTTGGTGGATAAGCACTCTTCCCATTGACATCAGAACAAACTCCTTGAGCATCTTGGGGACAGACACGTCTTTTCCTGGCGTGATCTTGTAAAAGTTGTGCCAAACTTAAAACTAGGATGAGCCAAATTGAAAAAGGGCTGCCTCCACATCAGATTTAGTGAGGGCTGAACCATGATGGGCATCTTCAGCTTGGAGATATGCTCGTTTTGAAGAGCACAAGGCTGTGAGCGGGCTTTGGAGGTTAGAAAAGGCTTTGGAGGGGATGGAGTGGGTGCTTCTGCTTGCCATAAAAAGCCTGGGCTTGGGAATGTCTACATCAGCCGGCTCCATGCAGGGCGTAAATACAGTTGTCGCTAAAATTGGAACGAGTCACTCCCCATGTTCCCAGTTGCAACTGTAACACAGATAATAAATAACATCAAAATCCCTGGTCAGAATGTGGGCTCCTTAATGCTCGGGGTGTGCAAACCCGTGGAAACCGGAGCGGAGTCTTGCGGCGACGGCGCTGCGGGGCCCTGGTCCAGCGGGCACCCAGGTGTGTCCTCAGCACATCCTCGCTTCCTTTTATCAAAACAGGCTGAGGACGTGCTCAGGGGTTCACACCACCTATAAACGGGGAAGGAGAGAAAGCAGAGGAGCAGTTCCTTATCAGTTCTGCTGTTTTTAAGACACCTGGAAGAGAGAAACCCAAGCAGTCTGCACTGCATGAGTCAAGGTACCCAAATTACCTATTTTGACATGAATTCCT